ATGAATACCTTGTTCTCATGCATCACTCCGGGCTTTCCTTCCACATTAAGCTGACATGCCGATATAACTGGAATACTGTTAAACGCGGCGTTAAACCCAACTCACGCACACTCACTCTCATAGCTATATGGCTCCAACTCACTCACACTCACTCTCATAGCTATATGGCTCCAACTAAATCACACTCACTCTCATAGCTATATGGCTCCAACTAAATCACACTCACTCTAGCTATATGGCTCCAACTAAATCACACTCACTCTCATAGCTATATGGCTCCAACTAAATCACACTCACTCTCATAGCTATATGGCTCCAACTCACTAACACTCATAATATGTCTTCTATATATCAAACTGCTTTCAAAACATTTGTAATATGCACATATTTCCCAATTTTAAGATGACAATCACCTTAAAATATACATGGTGAATGTATTAGACCAAACTGGATATTCAAATGTTAATAACACTGGAATTATACAAAATTAAAAACCTTACTGTAGGGGCATGTGAACATTACACATTAGCCCATTTCTAAAGTCCATCAGGAATCTTGTAGAACAAACCATTATGATTTGTGAAGATTTAGGGGTAGAATAGGTCTTCAGCATCCCATTCTTGCGGTAAAAGGCGACTATGCTCGTCGTAAAAGGCGACTAACGGGATCAGGTGTTCAGGCTCGCTGACTTGGTTGAAGCATGTCATTGATCCCAATTGTGTGGATCGATGCTCATGATATCAATCACTGGATTGTCTGGTCCAGACTCGATTATTTACAGACCGCCGTCATATAGCTGGAATATTGCTGAGTGCGGCGCTAAACAACAGACAAACAAAAAAACAAAAACATTATGATTTGTAAGCACATGTACTTGTCACGTGCATTCAAAGGAGACAAAAATTCAGGTACTTTTAACAGCCTATGGGAAAAAGGGGTTTTTCTACCCCACAACTTCAATTGAATATGTATTAGCCCTAATATAAACAAAAAAATAAAGCCACAGGGCACTGTAGGTCACCTGACTTATGGAGAATATAATGTTACGAGAGTTTAAACACATTTTGGTACAAATATCTATACTGAGTGCAAGTTTAACATGTTAAAGCCCCTCTGCCTAAAGTTCTTAAGAATAAGATTGTTAAACTTTTTGTTTAATTGCACTTTCCTATATATTAAAATTTAGGGGAGTAGTGCACTTTACCAGGCGCACTTTTTCAGATCAGCTTTGGGGGCTGGAACGCGCATTGCCAGCTCACCGGCTTGGCAAATTAATGGGCTAATTTGACCACGCTCAACCACTGGACCACGAGTGCTATCACATGTAATCAGTGCTCGTTTAACGGGTCATTAGCACCCCATTAACATGCATGCATAATTTAGAAAACAATAAATTGCGGATGCGTGTGATGTCATGCTCCGATCTCCCATTCATCTTTTATTGAAGCCATACCCCACATTGTTAAATTCGAACATGACCTACCAATCAGATTAACTGGATTAACGCTTGAAAAGATAAAAAATTATGGCTAACCCTTGCCCTAAGCAAGCTAACCCTAAGGACCGAAAAGAGGTGTTGGATCGTAAAGACGTGTAAGTTTCCCTGAGACCGAAAAGGGGTGTTGGATCGTAAAGACGTGTAAGTTTCCCTAAGACCGAAAAGGAGTGTTGGATCGTAAAGACGTGCAAGTTTCCCTGAGACCGAAAAGGAGTGTTGGATCATGAAGCGAGAGTCACTTGATGGTGAGGCACGGTAACGGTACAGCGAGACAGCGGTCGCACTATACCGCGGTAATTGAGCGGATGGTAGAGCTCGGGCTGCGCCGGGTAAACTATATCATTGCCACTAAAATATATAGAATATCTAACTAAATGTACCCCAAGTTCAAATCTATGGTACCCAGGTCGACAACATGAGTTCCAATGGCCTGTGCATCAACACCCCAACCCCCCCCCCCCCCCCCCCCCCACCCCCCCCCCCCCCCTACCCATCGAAACAATATATATATTCAAGCCAATATCTGAATATATATATGTCAATACTCCGAGCAGACTAAGAATCTTAAAATCCTTGATCTAACAACTAAACAACTAAATTAATCCGATATGCCAAATCAACCGTTGATGATATTACACTGATGTTTATATTAGTTAACTATCGTTAAAGGGAATCGACACTCCAACTTTGAAAGCATAGAAATATGGATCGGCTTTTCTTCGCGGATTCCGGACTATAGTATAACCCCGATGGTTTGACTTGTGTTCGGCGCAATTCTCGCTGCGCTGCGCGAAGCGACACCTATCGGAGGATCGACGAATGAGAAGCCGTATATCATAACAGGGTCATAAGCTATCGGTCAACATCATATTGTGTACAATAAAATAACTGCATATCATCCCTTCAAAGAATTCAGGTAAACGATCAGGTGATAACACACTTGATTGATAAAAGAAAAAAATGTGACATTCAGATAAATTATCAATAAACCTGATGATTTACCATTTAAATTGTATTTTCTGTTCTTCTAGGGATTGTGTTATATGCAGAAATAAAGATTACCGTTTTTCTCCTATGCCCAACAGTGACGCAACATCACAACAACACATTTAATAGTGGGTCACGCTGTGCGTTACACGGCCGAGATTCATTCCCGCAATTGCGTAAACATACATTGATGTTCCATGCCTTAGATCTTACATACAATGAAACGTACGTTATTTGATCACATATTAACTTGCTGTTGCCCGACACGTAAAACCAGAGGTAAACACCTCCTTTAGAGAAAATACTCTGGAACCGTGTTCCCCCAACGACTGCAAACAGCAACTACCGGAGGGTTTACAGTATACATGTGATCTACTGCAGATGTACATGAACACTTGAACCTGATATATTCATTAAGCTACATTATGTACATTGAAATATGGTAATACTGGCACGGTAGCCCACACGTACACAGAAAACACATTGACACCGACGCATATATACTTTAACAAGTACATAATACTTCTGTATCACTTAATCACATCATAATGTATTATAATGGCTGCTAGCCTATGAACCCACAGTAAGCACATTCGTACTGACAATAATATACACAAACACTGCATATACTGTATTAGGGCATATTTACTCTTCAGCCCAGAACATCATCGTATGAAAGCACAACAGCAGCTTACATTAGTATTATAATGCCTCTTCAGCCCAGAGCAACATCACATCGTCTTTTCACTGCGCATACAGCAGCTTACATTGTATAAAATGGCTCTGCAGCCTGGCGACAACAAATAACCAAAAAATATAACAAATCCGAATCTGTACCCACTGTCACAAATCTGAAACATACAGTCAACAGATTATAACATTGAAAATGCAATACTTTTCACATAAAGAAATAGAAATAATCTAATGGCCGTGCTTGCACCCAGAGCGAGAATGAACCATTCATGTTGTTGTTGCTTTAAGTGTTTAAGAGGCCGCCTTCTGCATTAGCAATTTCGGCTGACCTGTCCCTCTTAGGGACTTATGTGTGTGAGTCGGGTATACATATCTATTGTGAAGTTGGTATTCACATAATTTCTGTTTTTGTATTGATATGATTTCTATTTTCGTATATTGATATAATTTCATTTTATCTTTGGCTGCTCTGTTTATATACGTTCGAGTAGCTGTCCATGTCTCAGAAATAGAGTTAGTTTGGCCTTCGCTATTGCATCTCTTGGCTCTAGGAGATCTATGACAGATAGCGGATCTAACTGCAATTCTTGTTTTAACCTAGACCGGGCTGGGGCATGGTCTTGACATTCTAGTAACACGTGAGCAATGGTTTCAGCCTGATTGCAACATAATTGTACGTACACATTTGCACACGCAGATGAACTTGCAAGTGAAAGATTATAGTAAGCATCATCCTCTCAATTGCGAGGATTCAAGGGGATTACCCCTCGCTGTCAACGAGGTTTTCCAGTTGGATCCTCGCTGGTCAGAAGCCCAGTTTGTTGGGTCGCTGGCGCTAATTGGCTTCTGGTGATTACGCGGACTTATTAAAATGGCGCCGGCAAGACGACTGAAAGTTGGAGTGTTCTTTCCCTTTAACTTGTCGTCGACAGATATTTTCAAAATCTTAATAATTTTAGTTATATTGTTCAAGTGATTTCGTGCACTTGGCTAGGTAAGAACCCTATATTGCAATATAGATCTTGATTATCGATCAGATCGTCTTGACTGGGCGCCGCCATTTTGTTTAAAGCTAATACAAGTGATATGAGAGGTGGAATCTGATTGGTGAATAGGCGGGACATAGAAGGGACATAACTCGTAATATCCACTGGTGGAGATACGTTCGCGGCACGAAATTCCAGCTTGGCAAAGGTGGGAACAGGACTTTTATAGTCCTTTAACTACCTTGCCTCGGAAGATGTCGATACCCGATACACCGAGGGATCAGATGGTCAGGATCGGTGACCTGGTTGATGTTGGCATGTCCTATTCCCGACGGCGTTGGTCGTTGCTCATACTATTAATCACTGAATTGTTTTGTCCCGACCCGATTATTTACTGACCGCCTTCATATGGCTGGAATATTGTTGAGTCCAACAAACCATAAAAGCAAAAGGGGGCACGGATGTCCCAGTCGTCTAAGGCGCATCAATTCGCTGTGCAGAGTTGCATCCATTGGGCACGCCAGAAACCTATGATGGTGGGTTCGAATCCCGGTTCGCCCCGATTATGTTTCTAGGTTTGTCAGCACCATACCCGTGCTCGCGGGTTCCACCGAAGTGGTAAACGTCTGAGACCTGCATCACTTCGGGCTTTCCTCCCACATTAAGCTGATATCACGCCGTGATATAACTGAAATACTGTTAAAAGCGGCGTTAAACCCAACTCACTCACTCACCTATAAAAGCAAAACAACAATATTCTATGGCTATGGATTTGTTAAATGACTCAGTGGATATTTAGTAGTTTCCCCCACCTTTGGCTGTGGGTGTATGCTGACATTAGCAGTGCGGTGCTTAACAGCATACACACACAAACTTCGTCTATTTGTTGCCTTTCAGGAGTAAAAGACGAAAATGGCATCCGACAAACACACTGCCAAGAGTATGACGCTTGACCCGGCCAACAAACTTCTGAGTGAGCTCCTCACACGGTCACAGAAGCCAGACATGCCACAGGATGTAAAAGAAACGTTAGAGAAGGTGGTTGACTTGACTGATAAGCGAGTTGAGTACTGTCGGAAACTGACATCACCCGATTCTCCAAGTGCCCGGATGATCAGCGAGAAGACCCACAACACACCATGGTCTAAACTTTATGACGATGGCAAAGTTGGATCCAGGTTTAGTCCGCAATGGATGAGTGGATCCGGTCAGGGTAAGTGTGTATATTAGGTTTAGAGTGTCAGGGAAAATGCAAACAACAACAAAAACGAAATACAAAAACCGATGCCTTCAATAAAACAACCTGTAAAACATGTACCATCTTACCGAGGCAAGGGAGGTAACTGACTATGAAAGTGGAAACTGGACTTTTATAGTCAGTTAGCTCCCTTGCCTCGAGAAGATGCACATGTGCTTGTTTATAAGAACACACGTTGATATATTAATTGCAACTGCGAAATTGCAGCGATGTTATGATCCACGTTTACTATCTGACATGGACCGATCGCTTTATAGCTACGATTCATGCCATTTGAACTTTCTACTGATTATCATTTTATTATTCCCCGCCACACTTTAAGGTCTGGGATCCATCCGTCCGATTTCGATTGGGACGAATTACAAACAGCATCGAAAATTTATGTTTAACAGTTATAGCCCTTATTTAGTCTTTTTGCATACTTCGTTAAGGGATATTTATGTTGATCACCTTCGGGACCCAGGATCGTGAATATTTTACAGAGTTATGGCCCCTTTTTATGTTTTCATGTATAGCCCTTTGTGTATTTCATTGCTGATGCGGCGGCGGTCGGGTATCCTAGTGGTTAAAGCGTTCGCTCGTCACGCCAAAGACCCGGGTTCGATTCCTGACATGGGTACAATGCGTGAAGCCCATTCTGGTGTCACCGCCGTGATATTGCTGGAATATTGCTAAAAGCGGCGTAAAACCATAGTCACTCACTCATTGCTGATGCTGATTGCTGTACACATATTTCCACTTTATTCTTTAATGTGCTCTCATAATCGGACGTTATTGTATTAATTTTAAAAATGCTTCCATTAAAGAGGCAAATTGTTGAACCTTATCAGCAAACATCGTTTAGCAAAATTAATGTATACATCATTTAAACATGTTACATTGAAGTAAGTCGCTGTACTCTGTTGTTTGACAGGACAGTTGCTTCAGTTTCTGATACGGATGCAGAAAGCCAAAAGAGCCCTGGAAATCGGGATGTTTACAGGATACGTGGCCATGGCAATGGCAGAGGCTCTCCCAGAAGATGGCGCCGTGGTGACATGCGAGTTCGAGCCCTATTTGGTAGAGATGGCAAGGGAAACGTTTGATGGAACGCCACATGGAAAGCAAATAGACATCAGACAAGGTTTGTCTGATTTATGCTGCCGCTGCTATACTCCAGATAATCGAATTCGAACCAGACAAATCCGACCCATTGTAAACATATCAATCTATACATACAAACTCTTTGCGCATATTCAGTATTCAGCCGGAAGGATATAGGTCTTGCCGTAAGAAGCGACTATACTCGTCGCTATGCTCGCTGACTTGGTTGATGTATGTCATCCTAGCCCAATTGCGTGGATCGATGTTCATGACGTCAATCACTGGATTGTCTGGTCCAGACTCGATTATTTACAAACCGCCGTCACAGAGCTCGAATATTGCTGAGTAGGGCGTAAATAGCAAACAAACAAATGTCAGTATTCTTCTAATGAAGGGGCAATAATTAGCTCTGAGCGTCACAAAGAATAAAAGAAGTTGTTATCCATAAGAAACTGTCATGTATTCAGACAAACCTGTGAATGATAATTTGAGCAAGGTTCGAAGCTGTCTGGGTACGACATCCTCAATATTTCAGCTTGTATAGGCTCTGTTCCGCCAACTCCTTGAATACATATGGCTGCGACACGCGATATCTGTAGTGAGGTGAGGTGAGGTGAAATGGGGTTTAACGTCGTCCAAGAATATTGCACTTATATAGCGACGTGCATATACGTGTGTATGTTTGTGTGGCTGCTTGTACTGGTCCGGACTGACGCAGTATACTGACTCCGAGTCGACCAGTCCTTGTTTTAGCCCCTTAATGCCGAGCGCCAGGCAGAGTAACAACAAGTACCATCTATTAACGCCTTTGGTATGTCGCAGTCAGGGATCTAACCCCGTACCTTCCGCTCTCCGGGCAGACGCTCTGCCACCAGACTGCGGAGGCGGTCGAATGTGACATGAACTCTACGCCCTGTGTTGACGTCATGCGAACCCTACCACTGCCTACCTTTAAAGCAAGGTGCAGAAAGACATAAAAGGCTATAGTCAACGCCACTTGAAATAGATTATAGGGCGGAAGGGTAGCCTTATGGTTAAAGTGTTCGCTCGTCACGCCGAAGGACCGGGTTCGATTCCCAAAATGGTCACGTTATGTTTAGCCATTTCTGTGTCCCTTGCCATGATGGAATATTGCTAAAAGCGACATAAAACTATATTCGTTCTCTCCAGTGAATGCAAACGTCCCATTGCAGGTCCGGCACTAAAGACACTCGACAGTCTTGCAGACGAGGGTCAGAAGTTTGACATAGTTTACCTTGATGCCGACAAGACGGGTTACCTCGCTTACTTCAAGGTCAGTGACTAAAGCTGTGATATACATTTTATCCACATGGAAAAAGTCAAAATCGTTCAAAATATACATCAAGTATACATCAGGTATTGAAATGTAACCAAATGTTTTAGGAATGTAAAACGAGACGCGTAGACGTTCATTTCGTTCGTGAACACCATGAGCACTGGTGTGTTGGGTAGGCACGCCTGAAGCCATGATCAGCGAATCCTATTAGCAGCTAAGGGAGGCAATTCTGCATATCTAGTTGCAGCACCTTATACCACACTTTCTCCAATTAAAGAAAATAGGGTATTCCTGAATGGGGATGTTTGTTTGGAGGTGAGGCGAAATTGGGTTTGACGTCGCGTTCAAGATTATTGCACTTATATAGCGACTTGCATGCGACGTGAGACACAGTGTACTGACCCCGAGTCGCCCAGTTCTTGTTTTAACCTTATAATGCTGAGCGATAGGCAGGGTAACAACAAGTACCATATTAAACGTCTTTTGGTATGTCGCGGTCGGGGATCGAACCCCTGACCTTCCGTTTTCCGGACAGACGACCATTTAACTAGACCACAGAAGAAGACTATAATATTTGTTCTGAAGCTTTGCTAGATTCATATAATGACTATTTCAGAAACTTCTTGATCGAGAGCTCCTAGCTCCGGGAGCCACTCTAGTTGTAGACAACACGTTTGAGTTTGGGTTCGCCTACACCGAGCCTGGCTCCACAGTGGACCAATTTAACCATGCAGTGAAAGACGACACAAGGGTAGAACAGGTAATGCCATTGTCACATAAAATACAATCAGAGAAACTTTTTGTTTTATTGTTTAACGCCGTCGCACCCCAGCTCCAAAATGCCAGTAAATAATTGTGTCTCGACCACACAATCCAGTGATTGATATGCAGTTTCTTTATTTCCGTACTGAGGAGGCCACAGGCCTATAGTACATTTATGATTTGTACATTCAGAGCAGTAGAGTCTATAACATAATATTTTTCCTGTGTCTCATTGCATGATAAATATACATAGACTCATTTTACAAAAGTAAGTACTTAGAGTTGTTTAACAGAGATGTGAATTTAAAGAAATTGGGGTTGACATGGTAAAATGGGCATAAAATGGGCATAAAATGGGCATAAAATGGGAATATAAAAAGGAAGTGGTATTCATCTTCAATGACATTCAGGGCGCACAATTGACATGTATATTACGTCCAGTTTCAATAAATAAATCAACATCGAAATGTTACTAAGGAAACCCGGATTTGTTTTACATTTAAACAAGATAAATACTGTTCGGGATATAAATACATTTGTTTGATTCAGATACAGACTTTTGTAAATATATATCTGTTAGTCTTTGTGTTAATGATCTAATGAAATAAGATTGACATTGTTCATTGTGTTCACGCCATACATAGCCATAACTAACGGAAAACAGCAAGTCTAGATCTTTTACGTCTGTTACCTAATTTCGTTTTCTATTTTTATCAAAAAGTACCATCATATTATAACATTTTTTTCGGGAACCTATAAGATGGCATATTCAATAATCTTAACCAATATTTAATAACCTTTAGATATGAATATATATATAGATTGGAAATCTGCCACAATCACCATATACCATAACACTTGGTGTATTAACCTTAACACCAAGGAATTTTTTGCAGGCATATAAATGTACTTTTTCTATTTGTTCATGCTTACTGAGTCCCCATATCTCTGCTCCATATAGTAATATCAGACTTATCTTTAAATCAAATATCTTGAAGAACGACTTGTAAGTAATTTTTCCAAGAGTAAAGATTTGTTTTAACACACCAATTAATACCTTTTGAGCTTGCATCGATGCTTGCTTTGCATGCATAGACCAACTAAGATGATTTGTAAAATATACACCTTAATACTTGTAGAAAGAGTTTCTAGGCATTCCCCTTTGTAAAACCATTTTTCCTTTTGAGTAAGCTTCCCACCATTTTTAAAAACAACGATCGTCTTTTTATCTTTGTTTACAGTTAATTTCCATTCATCACAGTATTTTTCTAATTGTTAATTTGTGTCTTTAAGCCGCCAATATTACTTGAGAATAATATAATATCATCCGCAAATAACAGTAAAAATAGTTGCGTCATGTCAGGATGTAGTTGAATTCTATTTGTACACTTATTTTGAATTTGTGTTGCTAATTCATTGATAAAAAATGAGAACAAAAAAGGACACAGTATGCAGCCTTGTCTCACTCTAAGTTCACTATCAAACATTTCCGTCAATTCTGGTTATTTCTGACACATACTTTTACATTTTCATAAATATTACATAGAAGTTTGCTCATTTACAACTAAGACCATGGGAATACAGAAGTGACCATAACTTATGCCGCTGTACAGAGTCAAATACATTTGCAAAGTCAACGAATAGAGCATAGAACTGTCCACCTTTTGTATACGTACTTAGATACTTTTGTACGATTGTTTGTAGTATAAACATATTATCAATAGTATTACCCTAGAACACGGATCCCACGTTAATGATAGATGTAAATATCTTACTGAATATGCTTAAAAGGGTAATACCTCTGTAATTATTCATATTCATCACCTTGTTTATGGATGGGACGATAATACCAATCGACCATAATTTGGAAAATGTCCATTTTCTAATACCAAATTAAATATCAATTTTAAGTATGGAAGTAGTAAATCTGAAGAATGTTTAAATAATTCAGGAATAGTATCATCTTGATACTTACAGTAGTATCTTGTTACTTTTAAGAATATATATGCTGTCTAAAATCTCATCCCCCATTACTGGAGAATCAAGAATATCCTCGGTAACATTTTTGTTTGTATCATATCGAGCGGATCTATCTGGAACCGTAGGCTCTGGTTCAGACTGGTCTTCATTGGTGGGGGTGACAAATGATTTGTAAAGTGTTGGTACCGATCATTAGTGGTAATATTATTTCTAGATGCATGCTTTTTATATACACTTTTAATATCATGATTGGTTGGTTGGTTGGTTGGTTGTTTAACGCCCACACACCAATATTCCAGCTATATGACCGCGGTCTGTAAATAAACGAGTCTGGACCAAAAATTCAAGGATTGATATCATGAGCATCGATCCACGCAATTGGGATCGATGACATGCATCAACCAAGTCAGAGAGCCTGACCACCCGATCCCGTTAGTCGCCTTTTACGACAAGCATACTCGCCTTTTACGGCAAGCATGGGTTGCTGAAGATCTATTCTAACCCGGTTCTTCACGGGTGTATATTGTGAGCGACATTTGTTTGTTTAACTTTGCACTCCGCAATATTCCAGCCGCATGGCCGTGATATGTAAATAATCGAATCTGGACCAGACAAACTTGTGATTGACCTCATTATCATCGATCTACGCAATTTGGATACAATGACATGCACCAACCATGTCAGCGTGCCTGACCACCCTATCCCGTTAGTCGCTCTTAAGACAAGCATGGGTTCCTGAAGACAAATTCTAACCCAGGAGCAACAACCCACTGTGATAGGTACCAGGATAATCACTGTACCCAGAGACCAAATGTCACCACCGCCTAGTACAAGTATAGGTTGCTGGGTACCAGTTATAACCTTGAATCCCAACAGAATTAAAATCATTAATAAAATGCCACTTGATTTTAGTATTTGACATATTTTAATGTATATATAAAACATCAAAACACCGTTACACTTATGATGCTCTTTCCCATGATTTTAAGGTGATGCTGCCCATCTTCGACGGTGTCACGTTGATCAGGAAGAAGGGGGAGTAACATGGAACATTGACGCGCCCATCATAAAATGAAGACAAACTATCCAACTAAGAAATCTACATTTTGTAAACGATGACTTAACTTCTACAAAGGAAATGTTAACGTAAAGTTATTTAATCATAGGATATGTTGTTTTGCTTGTTGTTTAACGCCGCACTCAGCAATATTCCAGCTAAATAACGACGGTCTGTAAATAATCGAGACCAGACAATCTGGACCAGACAATCCAGTGATTGACATGTGCATCGATCCACGCAATTGGGATCGATGACATGCATCAACCAAGTTAGCGAGCCTGACCACCCGATGCCGTTAGTCGCCTCTTACGGCAAGCATGGGTTGCTGAAGACCTACTCTAACCTGGATCTTCACGGGTCCGCTTTCGAGTATAGCATGGGTGTGTATAACGGTGGATGTACGAAAATATTCATGGGGTCAAAACAAAGGGTGGTTGTTTCAGTTCCTTATTTTCTATGAGAATTAATCTGTGCTTCCAGATTGTCATAGAAACGTCTACACAAAGTTTTAAAAATATTTTTTGTTTTTCCATGTCAGCAGGTTGAAACATATTATTATATATTTTTGTGCGATAAGTATATTTTATAAATGACATATTTTAACAGAAATAAACTTTAGTCAACCCGAAAATGGAAATGGTTATACATTACAAACATTAGCGATAATGTGTTTTACCAGTTTTATTCAATTGTTTATTTGTTTGTTTGTTTGGTTAAAGCAATATTTCAGCTTTATGACGTCGGCTTTATGACATCGGACCAGACAATAACCATTGACGCGTCGACACACTATGAACCAAGTCTGACGCACCTTCCATTGGTCGACACTTCCGAATCATTCACTTTACAGTTTGAATCTGATTTACTGTATAGAGAAATTACAATTTTTATGTTTTTGCGACTTATGATGTTTTGTCCCTAAACTGATAAACACGGCATCAGTAGCATTGTCCAACGTAATAATGCAGCACAAATCCCGCCCATTCTATTATAAACCAATCAGAAAACAGTCGACCGGTGATTGGCGTGGCCAATATCTCTCTCAGTTTATGGAAACATCAACGCAAAAACAATTGCTACGTTAACCAATCAATACGCACGGGCTTATCTATAATCTATTTATATACTAAAATACTATTTTACTCAAATTAAGTCATTAATTACAATAAATAAAAGCGACAAAACCCTTTCCATAATCATAAGAAATCTCTGTAAAAAGCAGAGTCTGTTATATGATCCCAGATTTCATCACATTGTGTTTAGGAGCACTGTCAAGTAGTATCAGGTGTTAGTGAACTCATGAAGGTCATATACGTGTCAGAAAACTCCCTGTCACACAAACCTGATGTCTGTAGGTCTCACCAGGAAGGTCTAGCAATATTTGTCAGTAAACTAACCCCCCAATATTTGTATTCCATGCGAAGTACTTTTTTCAGAACATATCAATGGTATGAGGAACCAGATGATTATTTAAAATAAGTCCTGTGTTCATCCACCCTCCTTACAGTTCATGTACACACTTCAGCCTTTCATTGGTTAAACAGTCAGGTATTCAACATATCCTTATGTTTGCAGCTTCACGTGTACCTCGAGCAGTGCAAACAAACAACTCTATTTATGTGAACATAGTGAGTGGGTGAGTTGGGCTTAACGCCGCTTTTAACATTATTCCAGTTATATCACGGCGTGTCAGCGTAATGTGGGAGGAAAGCCCGAAGTGATGCAGGTCTCAAACGTTTACCACTTCGGTAAAACCCACGAGCACGGGTATGTTGCTGACAAACCCAAAAACATAATCGGGGTGAACCGGGATTCGAACCCACAATCATAGGTTTCTGGCGTGTCCAAGGGACGCAACAGTGCACAGCGAATCGCGGCGCCTTAGACGACTGGGCCACCCGTGCACCCCTATGTGAACATAAGTGCTGGTGTTTGTGTTATACCATACGTCGACATCAATTGGAGTTTTGTGACACTGCTTATCATGAGGAAAACCATGTCTTCTGTCAACAAGTTGATTTGGTGCATGAGGAAATGATATTATCTTATGATATTCAAAATGCAAACCAGGAAAACACTAGTTGAAGGTTGAATTGCGTGTGGCTTACTATGGGTTCTTGCACCTCGATCTATGTACGGGAATGGTCCCATAGCATGCAGAAAATTAAACAACCGTTTTTCAAAATCCGACTTTTTGTCCTGATACAGCCAGCATGTCCCCTTCGAGTTGTTTATAGAATCTCGGAAAGGCAAACTTGAGAGTTCAGAGTTCTATGCGCAAAATCAGCCAAAAAACATTTTCACCTTATTTTGGCCAGCTCTTACAAGTGTTGAGTCCTGACAACCGCAGAGGAGTTACAATATGACGACGACTTTGATGTACCAGCAGTTGGTGAAGACGTTTATTGAAAGATGCAAGATAGGTATTCCGACTAAGAAAATGACAACACATGCAGACAGTTTTATCTTGAACCTTTTATAAGTACTTTACTGAATTATGATAGATATACATGTTAAGAAAGAAAATCCTTAACCAAATCACCTTTTGAAGAATCTAAAGAGTCAAAACCAAGAAACAGTGAAAAAAATTTTTTTAAACAGATATAGTAGAAATGTTAGAAAGACATTTCTTAGAAGTTGACGGATGATAAGATAAAGTAGATAAGGATAATGATGTATACAAAATAAATTAACTAAAATATAAGATAAACATTAACCATGTCAGTAACCAAGAAAAGCAATATGACGAATACAATAACATGTTGCAAACACAGTGTTGAATCTCTTCTTCTATCAGTCTGGGGGCGGTCGGGTAGCCTAGTGGTTAAAGCGTTCGCTCGTCACGCCGAAGACCCGGCTTCGATTCCCGACATGGGTACAATGTGTGAAGCCCATTTCAGGTCTCCCCCGCCATGATATTGCTGGAATAATGCTAAAAGCGGCGTAAAATCAAACTCACTATCAGTCTGGCTTATCCTCACACATTACGGCATGTGACATAGTTACGTCACTGTCGGAGACCACTCCCTGACTGACTCTGGTAACAGAATGAAGAAAAGTAAAAATAAGCTTGAGGGTGCAGTGGCGAAGTTGTTAGGCTTACGGCGTATGTAACTTAGCAAAAAAAAGTGACCATACACTGTCCATAATCATAATATATATTTATAAGAATAATCATAAGAAATCACATATCATAAGAATAAGAATATCATAAGATAAGAAGAGCCGAGTTCGATTTCCAAAATAGGTACAATATGTAAAGACCATTTCTGGTGTCCCCCGCCGTGATAGTGCTGGAATATTGTTAAAAGCGGCGTAAAACCATAGTCACTCACTACCACTCAATCAAGTACAAAACCAGGAAGTAAACACTGAATTAGGTTGTGCTTTTGGTGTTGCGCCCAGCTTGTATCAGTGGAGATACAAACGTGGAATAGATAGTTTTAATAATCAGATGCAAAATTTTCCATTACAATTAGAAAGACAAATCTCCGAGTATTGGTGACCGAATAACATCACGACATCGATTTCAACAAATACGCTTTGCGTTTACACTAAGAGGAGGCCGTTGATCCTCGTTTTCACCCAAATGATAACCAACTGGTAGAAGAACACTATATACCTAAATATGACGTATTCAAATCAACATGGTAATGAAGTATCAACAAAAATAAAATGCGCCTGGGGCCTGTTCCACGAAGACTGTCAACTCATGACGTATCCCAATCAAGATAGTAATGAAATATAAACAAAAATATAATGCGCCTGGGGCCTGTTCCACGAAGACTGTCAACACATGACGTATTCAAATCAACATGGTAATGAAGTATAAACAAAAATAAAATGCGCCTGGGGCCTGTTCCACGAAGACTGTCAACTCATGACGTATCCCAATCAACATAGTAATGAAATATAAACAAAAATATAATGCGCCTGGGGCCTGTTCCACGAAGACTGTCAACACATGACGTATTCAAATCAACATAGTAATGAAATATAAACAAAAATAAAATGCGCCTGGGACCTGTTCCACGAAGATTGTCATCTCATGACGTATTCAAATCAACATAGTAATGAAATATAAACAAAAACAAAATGCGCCTGGGACCTGTTCCACGAAGACTGTCAACTCATGCTGCCCTATGCAAATCGTTATTAAAGCACAAAGACACGGCACATAACTAGCTCCACTTGGCAATCAAACAACCTCGACCAATCAGAAAGGCCGAATTGTCACAGAATGTGCTATATTGTCCCACAATTGAAACCTTGAAAATGGCTGCCATAGCAGCCATATTGAAAATCAGATTAAAACCTCTCGAACAAATTAGGGTGCCTTAGTCAGTGGGAATATACATCTGAAATTTCATCTTCACTAGTCCAGTGGTTTCTGGGGAGATGTGCAGACGTCGGACAAAGAGGCCACGAAAAACGAGTTAGTAGAAGAATATCGCCTGATGGTTGGGGGCGTGGTCAAATCTGCCTCGGCCATAGGTTAATGTACAGAACATTGTTCTGTACTACATGTATATCGAATTGTTTGCGTCGGTTCCAATCCTAATACAATTCAATCTTTTTTTCTGCATTCCGAAAGGTTTTACATATTAATATTTTCACATAAACCCTTAATGTTCACGTGCTTGAAAATAAGACATATGTTCACAGACCACTGAGAGTAACAAACGTGAATGTTCGTCAATGCGTTGCAAAGAAAACACGTGTTTACAATAAGACACGGTTTCTTCTCCGCCTTCAGAATTGAAATTTGAAGCACTGCCGACATGTCTTTCTGTTGAAGCAGACATCATCAGATGTGCAGTCGTATTATGTTAGCTCCTCGTATGTGTCGTCACTTGGTCCACTGTCAGCGACACTGTAGTCCGGCACATTGTAGATGATGTTCGGGGGTGAAGGAATATCATCATCTTGTTTTGCATCTTCCTTCACTGGCATAGCCTTATTGCGCCTACAGGAATAAAAACATTTTAAAGAAGGTATATATATATGTTGGTTGGTTGGTTGGTTTGTTGTTTAACGCCGCACTCAGCAATATTCCAGCTATATGACGGCGGTTTGTAAATAACCGAATCTGGACCAGACAATCCAGTGATTGGTATCATGAGCATCGATCCACGCAATTGGGATCGATGACATGCATCAACCAAGTCAGCGAGCCTGACCACCTGATCCCGTTAGTCGCCTCTTACGACAAGCACAGTCACCTTTTACGGCAAGCATG